TAATGTAAAAATATTTTGACTGCAGGTGTCACAGTTGACACCCGGGCCCTTTCTTCCCAGTGTGTGGGGACAAGAGCAGGTTCTTTTAAGACCCGCGCTCTTAATGAACCGTCTTCCCAGAGACACTCGGGGTCTAATAGTGTGCCTTTTGGTGAAGTTGTTGAGAATTTTAATGCATTTTAGTTCTCATTCATCACGGCCTGTGTGCTCCTCGCAGGAGGGCCCTTGGAAATAGGATTAGCTTCTAGAGGAATGCATTAGCCGGGCCACAGAAGTAGGCAGAGAGCCAACCAGCCTGAGATTGCTCCAACCTTCAAATCCTTCGCTGCCCCTCCCCCGGATTCCCCTCCCCCTTATTGACAGCTTCTCACTGAATGGCATTAGTGTATTTAGGAGTTAGATGTTTTGTATGATCCTAGGCTGATCTCATATTCCCTTTCTGAAATTAATTCGGCGCTGCTTTACATGTTAATCCGCAAAGGATTGATTTGAAGAAGGTCAGAGCGGCGCAGCCCCAGAAAACACGAGGAAAGCTGCACTCAAAAAAAAAAAAACGGTTCATTTCAGTTCCCAGACCTAAGCCCGGCTGCCTTTTCATCAAGACCCTCAGCCAGCTGTAGGCGGCTTGGAGGGCCGCAGAATACATCAAACAGTGGGGTTTGATGTGGGCCGTAGGATCGACGGGCTAATTAAGTTCAGCTTGGTTAACCAATTGCAGTTTGCAAATTGAACAATCGTACTCTGAAAGCTTCGGACACAATAGAACACAGAATCTTCCTTTTAGGCACAAACATGCCCAATAACGGAGTAGCAGTTTTTGAAAGAAGCTTATACCAAATCCACACACTTTGGATGTCTCTAACGTAGAGTTCGTTTCGCTGGTAACAAAACTCCAGCCTCTTTTATTCAAAGAATTGCGTGGAGTCAAAGGCAAGAAGACCCCAAGCCCTGGGTGGGGAGGCCGGTGAGGGAGAAGTGCCCGGTGGTGGATAGAGGGTAGGTGAGTGTCGGAGAATTAAGAGATTTAAATTCTTCTTTGAGAAAGAAACTTAAATCTTGAGCCATAGTCAAACAGTCGTTGGGCTGATCTCACTGACGCACCAGATAAGCGGCGATTCAGGAGATGAAAGTCTTGGATCCAGAAAAATCAAATTAGAAAAGGCCAGGGTCTGTTGGTGGGGGAAAAAAAATCTCAGTGGTAGGGAAAGGCGGAGAAACCAGTTAAGTCCAGACTGAATAAAGATGTAAGCGGTAAATCCAGAGCAATCCCAAATTCGAGTAAGAAGCACCCACGTTTAATCTGCCTTCGGTGTATGCGCGAGTTCCCCTTGCTGGTAAAAGCTTTCCTGCTCTGAAGCTGAGGTGCGGTGCATGGGTCCCATTGGCCCCTGTGTCCTGCGCTGTTAGTGTAATTTTAGTCTTTATCAAATGCTTGCTCTTTGCCCAGGGAGTCACCAGACTGCCACGGCGTGTGGTAGCCAAGCACAGAGGTTCCGCAAGGTCGCTGGGAGGGGGCATTGCCAACTGGATCTAAGGTTTTGCTGCTAGATGTCCTGGGAGGCAGGGGAAACCTCAGTTGGGAGGCTGCTCACCCGGCACCCACAGTGCCCTGGAGTTGGTCCCTGGCACCGCGCAGACTGGTCGTGGTGGTGCGTGTGTCCAAACTCAGCCCTTAGGATCAGAAGTTCAAAGTCATCCTTGACTGTAAAGGGAATGAGAGCCAGCCTGGACTGTATAGGAGATCGTGCTTCCAATAAATAAATAGAAAAGATAAGTGAGTTAAGTCTCTCTGGGCTGTATAGGAGATCACGCTTCAAATAAATAAATAGAAAAGTGAGTTAAGTCTCTCTGGGGCTAGGACATTTGAGCAGCCATCTCCGCAGACCCTCTGTGGAGTTGTAGGTGTCACCATTGAGCTTTCCCTGCAAGGCTCCTGGGCTTGGTGAAGGAACTGTCAGCCCCCAGCTTCTCTCCGAGCTGGACGGAAATGGCAGGGAGGACTGAAAGCAGCAGCCCCGGGCTGAGGTGCAGGACCTCTCCTGGGGTCAGCGCAGGACCTGCTGCTGCATCCCTCTGTCTGAGGCAGAGTCGTCTGTCCTGCAAGGAAGGGGCTTTGGCAACTTTTCCTGCTGCTTTTATCTACAGGTGTGGCCAGTGACATCAGCAAGCTTAATCGTGGCTTTGGAGCCTTCCTTGCCTCCCTGGGAAAGTGTCTGGTGGGGTGGGGGGAGTAGCTATCTTTAATTTGGATATAATGGTAGTTTTCTGAAATCAGCCACGGAAGTTGCTTCTGGACTATTCCAACAGACGGGAAAGTGGGGCTGTTTATAGGATGAATGTACATGCATGCATTTCCGATTGACTGAGGTGAGTCTGTGCGTGTCAGCTGGTGCTTCTCGTCTCTGCCTCCCCCATTAGGTATTTCAGATAGCTCTGGGCCTCTGAGGGAGGAGAGCCTGAGGGTCCCGCAGGCTTACGCCACACGTCTGTGGGTTGTGAGCATGGGCTGAGGTTTGAACCCTGGGTTTTTTTGCATGCGCTGCTGGCCCCAGCAATACAGGAAGCATATGTGGGCAAAGTTGCTCGGTGTATCTGCTTTGTGTGTGGGGGGGGCGCTTCTGCTCAGCGCCCTTGTCTCCGTGCATCTGACAAGAGCGCTGGCTTCTCACAATGAGGAGCTAGAAGGAATCTCAGGAGAGATGGAATGTCTGTGCATTTAACTTCCTTCCTTTTTAAGATTTGTTTATTTTTTATGTGTTTGCACATTTTGCCTGCACGTGTGTCCGTGCACCGCATGCATGCCTGGTGCCCCGAGAAGGCCAGAGGGGGCAAGGGCGACGTACACCCTGGGACTGTATCACAGACAGTCGAGCTGGCCACGTGGGTGCTGCTGGGAACCAAACCCAGCTCCCCTAGGACGGCAGCGAGCGCTGCTAACACCGGGGCAGTCTCTCCAGCCTTTAGGACTGTTGGCAGGGGTGAGAGCGTGGGGAGGGCTGGAGCCGCAGGTGGGGACGTGTCAGGGTAAGACCTTGGCAGGAGGGGGGACACGTGCATGGGGGGACGCTGGGTACTGGTTCTGGACTGGGAGTCATTTCCTCCTTCACCTTTGAATGAAGAACATGGCCTTAGCCTCCGGTTCTGGTGCGGGGTTGCGGGTGACCTGCTCCCCCTGCGTCTTCTCCACGGGAAATGTGTCAGAGAGCAGAGACTCGTGCCGGGAGCATCATCCCAGCGGGAGGGAGGAAAGGAACCCTGCGTGTTGCTCGTGAAGCTGAGGAGCCTTGGGGTACACTGACCCTGTAACGGCGCTGTCAGCACCGCTTCCAACTCCAGCCACTGTTTACCTGTTTGAAACCAAGCCCGACTCTTCTGTTGTGACGTGCATTCTTTCCCGCCAGCTGCCTGGGTCCCCCCACTGTCTCTGCCCCCAAATAACACACGAGACACTATATTAATTATGAAGCTGTTGGCTGTTTGCTATGGTTTCTTAATGGCTAGCTCCGACTTAACTATTAACCCATAATTACTAATATCTATTTTTATAAGGTCTTATCTTACCGAGAACGCCAGACTTGCGCCCTCTTCCAGAATCACATGGTGATACCCTACTTTTGACTACATTTCCCAGAAACTGTCTCTACTCCTAGTCCCACCTATCTTGCTTCCCTACTGGCCAACAGTGCTTTATTAACCAATATGACAAACATATACACAGAAGACTTCCCCCATCATTGTGTGTTTTCTCTCTGGAGTCTTAAATTTAAAATGGGGTGGGTTACCCTTGCTCACTGGCTGCCGTCCTCATTCGCAGATGGTCACCTCCACCATCCCCTATCCTAGCTGGGCTTCGAACAATGACGGGTCTGAGGCAGCAGCATCCATCTCACCTAAAAATGACTCAGAGAGGAAGAGGCCAGTCCCTGGCCCTGCCACTCGGTGCCCGTGTATTAAACTAACCAGATCCAAGCAGATCCCCGAGTGAATTTCAAGTTTGAGAAGCAGCACGGGGAATTCCAGTAGCCCCATTAAAGACACGCCCCAGTGGAAGGCCATCGCCAGCCCCCCATCCTTGAGGGGCCCCTCGCTTCCCGACAGCCTTCAAGACGTAGCCTCGGAGAGTGTGGCAACCCTAGAGCATCAGCTGGGCCTTGTGGGTTTTTATTCGCGAAATCTGACAGCGCTCAGCTGTAGAGAAGGAAATGTCGTCTGTTCACCCCCCTCCCTTGGGCAACGGTCTTGAAAGGGAGGGGTTTTGGCACTGTGAGGGGGATGTCGGTGAGATCCTCCTGGCTTCAGTTGGACGTGTGCTGGGAGGAGGCGGGGCTGGGGACATCGAGGGGAAAATGCCACCTTGTTCCTGCCCGGCCTCTGAAGACCACCAACTGAACTGGGCTCTGCCCTCTGGGAAAAATCCAGTGGGCAGCGGGAACGCATTTTCCACCAGGTGGCTTTAGGTGGGAGAGCTGGCGGTTATAAGATCCCACCCCCCCCCATACGAGTGTTCTCATTTCTGCAGGTTGGAGGTTAGGCTTACGTTAGGTTTAACTGTTGAAGTTTCTTCCTCCAGGAGGCACCTGAAGTGCTGGCCCCCCCATGCCCACCTCATTAGGAAGAGGGAGCTTGCGGCTGTTTCTCCAGCAACGCCGGACCTAATAGTTCTTATTGCTAGGTACTTCCAGATGATGGGGCTTGATTCCAATGCCCCAAAGCAGTGAGTCTTGGAGTTGAGGCTCCAGCATGTGCCGTGACTTTTTTGCTTTTTTTTTTAATGTCACCTAATAAGTTGTACACACACGCTCTGAGAGGAATTATGGGCTGCTTTCTTCATTACGCTCTTCCCCAACTCATAATTACATTGGCACCGCGTGCGCGCGTCAGCTTCGTTTGAAAGACACTGGCGTGTGGCTCGGTTTCTGTGAGCCTCCCCACGCTTCTAGCTGGGAAACGGCATCAGACCATTTTCTTAGAACCTGCTTCTGCCACGACCCCCACCCCCAGCCCCACCCCGTGCCGCCGGGGAGGTGGACAAGGCTGGTCAAGTTCCTTCAGGATGCAGCTGAAGAGCTCAGCCTTTCGTGGCGCGTCTTCCTGTGGCTGGCACCCTGACCTGCCTCAGGCATGAGAAAGCTTATCCAGGAAATGATGTGGTGGAAGAAATGGCAGTGGGGAGTTTAGAACCCTGGCTGTTTCGGTGGTGTGTTTGCGTTGCTTAGTACCGGGAGGAGGGTTGCTCTGAAGGTGTTGACTAAATTTATGATCTGCTGCAGTCATCTTCTTAGTTACAGAAAGTGTGATCCATGCACGTTACGTATTTGCAAGTGTGTGTAGCATGACACTTTAAATTTGTCTTTTCTTCCTCTCTTCTGCAAGCCAGTCTAATAAATCATATATATGTATATATACACATACCTATGCATGTATGTATATATATACATATACATGTGATGTGTATGAATGTATATATTCATCCTGTCAGTTCTAGTCTGTTGTTGCTGACTTGCGCCTACACACACACACACACACACACACACACACACACACACACACGTATGTTTTCAGTATTTGTATGTGTCATGAATTCATGCGAGTATAGATATGCACCTGTCATGGCCAATCAGACAGAGGACAGTTTCTCAGACTTAGTTTTCTAAGGGTCTTGTTTCTGTCATGTAAGTGTTCCTGGTTTGTGTCTCAGCAGAGGAGTGCTGGAATCACAGGTACACATTAGTTGTCTTAGAGGAGGTGCACACCAGGTGTCTCAGCAGAGGATTGCTGGGATTACAGGTGCACACCAGGTGTCTCAGCAGAGGATTGCTGGGATTACAGGTGCACACCAGGTGTCTTAGAGGCGTACTGGGATTACAGGTGCACACCAGGTGTCTCAGCAGAGGATTGCTGGGATTACAGGTGCACACCAGGTGTCTTAGAGGCGTACTGGGATTACAGGTGCACACCACAATCCGGTTTTGCATATAGGTTGTGGGTTGTGAAGCAACCACTTGTACCTGCTGAGCCATTTTACCTGGCCAATGTCTTTCCATTTTAAACTCATTAAAATTAGTAAGTGGTGCCTGTTTTTTGAGGAACTAATTTAGCTAATTAAACAAGAAATTTAAATCAAAATCATAAAAGCTGTATTGGGTGGCTTATGAAGTCTTATCTTTTACATTTTAACTTATTTTAAACATTAACATTCAGTATTACCTTAGGCTGTTTTATCCCACAACTAAAAGTCTGGATAAATTTTGTACGGTGACACACACCTGTCATCCTAGTACTCAGAAGGCAAAGGCAGCAGGATCAGAGTTCTCTAAGCCAAACTGGGCAAAATCCTGTCTCAGACACTTCCGCACAGTAATGATAAGATAATCAGATGGGTCCAGTAAACCATGCATGATATAAAGGGACATGGAACTTGGGACTTTGCTTAGCACAGCCCTCTTTAGGATAGCTAAGCCTAGTGCCACAGAATGTGGATATTTTCTTGTCTCTTTGTGAAATCTGTTGGGGACCTGCTACTTCCTAGTTTGATAGGACTTTGAGAGGTAGAGAAAGGGGGGAAGAGAGAGAAGAGAAAGAGAGGAGAGAGAGAGAGGGAGGGAGGAAGAGAGGGAGGAGGAGGAGAGGGTGGTTTTTACCTCCCCCTTGCAACACAGGCACCTTGCTGCTGTGCAGGACCAGCTTCTGTGAGGCCAGCTTGTGGCTCCTGAAGAGTCTTTTGTTAGCAAAAGGGTGTCTCCACCTGCGGCTGTGAGCCCCAGCTTCTGACCCGCCTCCTGGCCTGTGATCCGCGTCTCCCCAGGTGTCAGCAGCAGGTGGGGTCTCTGGAAGCAGGCATTTTGAAGGGTCAGACGTTAATGATGACTCATGGATGCCATGCGTGGGAAAGAGACCTCTAAATTGAACTTCAGAACCACTTTTCTCCAAGGAATGAACCTGACTTTCGTACCTAGCTTTGTGAGAGTGATGTGTGTGTGTGTGATACATGTGTGTGCATGCACACACAAGCATGCATGAACACACACACAAACACATGCATACATGCACACGCATGCACACACACACGCTGCAGACTAAGCTAGGACTCACACTTCACAATCCAGACGGTTGGCTCATCAGCATGGCGTGGGATGAGTGAGCGTTCTGTGTCTACAGTGAGGCAGAGCTGTCTGCTCCTGGCCGCTCACCCCTCCAGGCATGGCCGAGCTTGAGAAGGGCAAGGCTCTCACCCCTGTCATCTCCTGCACTGGAGTCGGTTGCAGTTTTGAGCTCATTTTCCAGTTGTGGTTAGGTAGGTGCCTCCTGGTCATGGTCCTGAACAACAAGCTGGCTGTACATCTTCAGTATGAAAATCTGAAATACAAAACACAATGACACGATACTCAGAAAGTTTCGGATTTCAGGCCAGTGATGGCAACACATGCTGTAATCCCCAATACTCAACGCACACTGCAATCCCCGATACTCAACACCTGCTGTAACCCCCGATACTCAACACCTGCTGTAATCCCCGATACTCAACACCTGCTGTAATCCCCGATACTCAACACATGCTGTAATTCCCGATACTCAACACCTGCTGTAATTCCCGATACTCAACACATGCTGTAATCCCTGATACTCAACACATGTTACAATCCCCGATACTTAACATATGTTACAATCCCCGATACTCAACACATGCTGTAATCCCGATACTCAACACATGTTACAATCCCCGATACTTAACATATGTTACAATCCCCGATACTCAACACCTGCTGTAATCCCCGATACTCAACACATGTTACAATCCCCGATACTCAACACCTGCTGTAATCCCCGATACTCAACACATGTTACAATCCCCGGTACTTAACATATGTTACAATCCCCGATACTCAACACATGCTGTAACCCCCGATACCCAACACCTGCTGTAATCCCCGATACTCAACACCTGCTGTAATTCCCGATACTCAACACCTGCTGTAATCCCCGATACTCAACACATGCTGTAATCCCCGATACTCAACACCTGCTGTAATCCCCGATACTCAACACCTGCTGTAATCCCCGATACTCAACACATGTTACAATCCCCGGTACTTAACATATGTTACAATCCCCGATACTCAACACATGCTGTAACCCCCGATACTCAACACCTGCTGTAATTCCCGATACTCAACACCTGCTGTAATTCCCGATACTCAACACCTGCTGTAATCCCCGATACTCAACACATGCTGTAATTCCCGATGCTCAACACATGTTACAATCCCCGGTACTTAACATATGTTACAATCCCCGGTACTTAACATATGTTACAATCCCCGATACTCAACACACGCAGCAATCCCCGATACTCAACACCTGCTGTAATCCCTGATACTCAACACACGCTGTAATCCCCGATACTCAACACACGCTGTAATTCCCGATACTCAACACATGTTACAATCCCCGATACTCAACACCTGCTGTAATCTCAGATACTCAACACCTGCTATAATCCCCGATACTCAACACACGCTGTAATCCCTGATACTCAGCCGGTTGAAGCAGGAGGCCCATGAATTTGAGGCCAGTTATGGATTTCTGAGCTTTTTAGATTAAGTTTACCCAGCCAGTGAAATCTGTTCAGATATCCCAAAATCCAAAAGTGAAGTCTGTGAAACCTGTGCCCCTTGCTCCCGGCATTTCCCGTGTAGGGTCTTGTCCTGTATCAGTGCCGCCTGGGATGAAACAGAGTGAGACCTGCTAGAGAGTAGGCAGCTGTGTCACTGAGACACAGGAGAGTCACTCTGGGTGGAAGCCAGTAATCAGGGGCCAGGTGTGTGTCCACTAACAGTGTGACAACTAGAGACCAGAGAGATGGCCCGGTGTGCGGAAGTCATGTTTCCATACCCGGCTTCAGTCTTCAGTCCCCACACGGTGGGAACAGAGAAGCAACTCCCCATAAGCTGTCCTCACCTCCACATGTATGGGGTGATATGTGCATGCCTGCATAAACATATATACACAGATAAATAATGTAATATAGAATTTCTTAAGGGGGTCTTGGCTAAGAGCAGGTGCTGTTCTTGCAAAGGCTCCTGCATTGGTCCTCAGCACCCAGAAAGCAGTTTTCAGCTACTTATAGCACTAGCTCCAGGGATCCCATGTGCTATAATTTAAAAAGCAGTGTGAGAGAAAGACACCGTGCAACACAGCTCGTGTGTGTGTGTGTGTGTGTGTGTGTGTGTGTGTGTGTGTGTGTGTGTGGTGTTAATAGGAGAAAGGGAATGGGGAAAAGGGGGAGCGGATGGGGAGAGTGGTCTCTGGAGACAGGAGCAGCAGAAAAGAAAGAGATTGGCAGGGAGACAGAAGACAAGCAGAGAGGCAGAGGGAGAGAGAGGAGGATGGGAGGCGGGCGGGGCCCTTTTAAAGGGAACATAGTGAATGTGCACAGTTGGTGCTCTTAGTGGCTGCAGCTGAGAGCGCATCCTGTCAGAACCCCAAGGGCAGCCAGATACTAACACCACGCCCTCTTCTGTCCTCATCTGGCACCTGCACTCGTACAACTTTAGACAGACAGACAGACAGACAGACAGACAGACACACACACACACACACACACACACAACATGAAAATAAACGGGGCTGGAGAAACGACTCAGCGGTTTAAGAGCACCAGAAAACCCAGGTTCCAATCCCAGCACCCACATGGCAGCTCACAACTGTCTGTAACTTCAAGATCTGACACCCTCACACAGGCATACATGCAGGCAAAACACTGATGCACATAAAATGATAAAAATAAAATTATTTAAAAAAAAACTTAGTCCTGGACATGACGGCACCTTTAATCCCAGCACTTGGGAGGCAGAGGCAGTTTGATCTCTGAGTTCACGGACAGGGTGGTTTGTCTACATAGTGAGTTCCAAGCTAGCCGTAGAAACAGTCGGGTGCTGTAGGAAAAAGGGGATTTAAAAAATCTGTTTTTAAATTGATGTGCAAGTACTAGAAAACCCCATGAATTGTCGACATGCCAGGAATTACTGTTAAATTCTGGTTACATTGTGTACTCTGTGTAGGAGCCCGTGACCCTGTGATAGAGCCTGTGACAGAGAGAGCTTCCACAGAAACTAGACTGTGCCCCGTGGCTACCAAGAGAAGGTCAGTGTGACAGTGTTTAGTCCCAGTGTGATCACATTACTGGTTTTTTAAAACAATATATACGCATTTAACCAAAGCTATTGGTTTCCTAACTAAAAATTGTGACGTGCATCCAGGAACCTAGCCATCTTAGAACTCAGTGGCTTAGAAAGACGACTTTATGTTTTTGGTGGTTTTCCTGGGTGAGAAACTGGCTTAAAGTTCATCCGAGTTATTCTCCGTGTGGCGTTGGCTGAGGACACTTGGTTTTGTCTGTCATTGACTTTACTCATAGGTGTCGCTTATTCTAACGGCACCTCTTCCAGGCCCAGAGTCTCCATGCTCTTGTCCATCATGGCGGTCTCGAGGAATCTGGATGTTTTCCTGGGTGCCCAGGATGCCAAGAGAGTCCCTGCCTCTCCCTGCTGGACGCATGCTGGAGGATTTGGAACTGAATCCTTTTGACCAACTTCCCTTCCTCCCTCTGCTCTTCCTCCTTCCTTCTGATAGGATCTCACATATCTTAGTTTGGCCTCGGATTCTCTGTGCAGTCAAAGATGACGTCGAACTTCTGACCTTCCTGTCTGCATACAGATTCGCTTCACTCATGGGCTGCAGACACACACCGCCATGTCTAGCCTGGGTGGTGCTGGGAATTGACTACTGGGCTTCATGAACGCTAGCAAATGTTTACTCTATCAACTGAGCTAAAGACCCAGCCCCAAACCTTTCTTAAAATTTATTATTTACTTTTTATTTTTATTTTACGTGCATTGGTGTTTTGCCTGCATGTATGTCTGTGTGGCGCCAGATCCCTTGAAAATAGAATTACAGACAGTTGTGAGTTGCTGTGTGGGTGCTGGGACTTGAACCCGGGTCCTCTAGAAGAGCAGCCAGTGCTCTCTCCTCTTTCTTTCTTCCTTCCTTTCTTTTTTTGTGTGTTTTTTTGAGAAAGGGTTTCTCTGTGTAGCTTTGGAACCTATCCTGAAACTCCCTCTGTAGACCAGGCTGTCCTTGAACTCACAGAGATCCGCCTGCCTCTGCCTCCTGAGTGCTGGGATTAAAGGTGTGCGCCACCAACACCTGGCCGGCCAGTGCTCTTAACTGCTTAAAATGTATTTTTATTGGGTAATTAATTCCCCCTGATACCTGGCAGCTGCCAACATCTACCTGGAGACTAGCTTGGGAATCTTCTTTCTTGAGCTGTACTGGGCACAGGCTCCAAAGATCTGCAAGCACATTGCAGAGCTGGCCGGGCAGGGCTACTACAATGGCACCCAATCCCACTGGATCACCAAAGACTTTATGATCTGTGGCGGTGACCCGGCCGGGACAGGTCGAAGTGGTGCTGCGTCTGTCTATAGTGAAACAGTCTGAAGATGAGCTTCATCCAGACCTGAAGTTCACCCGGAGCTGGGACTCTCCCTGTGGTCAGCGCAGGACCAGGCATCAATGGCAGCCAGCTCCTTGTGACCCTCACGCCCACACAATGGCCGCATTATTTCATTTATTATTATTATTATTTTATCTCTCTGAGCATGCGGTTTCCTCAGCAGAGCCCAGTGCCAGAAACAGCCATGGCAGTCTGTGGGGACACGATAAAAAAGGGAGAGGCCACCAATAGTCGGTGAAGACCAGTTCACCCTGGCATGGGCTTCACGAGTTTTTCTGGCTTAGCACTGCATTTGTGATAGGAAGCCACGCTGACCCCCATGGAGGCCAGGGGGTGATGGGAACGTGTAGCCTAACACGGGACCTCACTGTGTGGTCGTGTGTAGTTTCCGGGGGCTCACCACGGAAGGACGGGGCCCCCATGCATCCGAGAAGTCTCTCTGCGGTCAGCAGCTGTTGACAGCCCAAGGGCCTCTGCCCTTGGCACTCTCCTTGGTGCTCATCCACCAAATCAAGTGTGGCACAAGTGTGTCTGCCACCCCTGAGAATGTGGCGTCTCCCTTACGACGTCTGTCCCACTCTCTTCCTCCTCTCCCTCTTCCTCTCGCCACCGCAGAGAGCCGAGGGGGGCTCGGGAGACAAGCCCGGCAGGCTGTAGGAGCCCATGGCAAGAACCTCACGCGTGACGATCTACATGGGCCTCCGCAGCCAAGCTTGAAGGTGGCTTTGGCCCTGGCTGACACCAGGGTCACAGAGTTGTGGGAGACCCTGAGCCAAAGGCGCTTAGTAAAGCCCCTGCAGACCCACAGGAACCAGGAAACCATCAGTGACGTGTCTGCCTCCTCCTTTCTGTATTTGGAAGGGAGGCCGCAGAGTTGGGGCCACAAATCTCACTTTAAGGAGAGGCTGTGACTCTCTCTCTCTCTCTCTCTCTCTCTCTCTCTCTCTCTCTCTCTCTCTCTCTCTCTCTCTCTCTCTCTCTCTCTCTCCCCCCCCGTTAAGTTACAAGGATCCAACAGTCACAGGGTTTAATGTCGCGCAGTTTGCAAACTGACCTAGGGGCTCTTAGGGGGTCTGTGGACGGGGGCCGGGAAGAACCAGTCTGAAAACGATTTGCTGGTGGAAAACTAGCTTCCCGTAAGTCACCCCTGCACTCCTTCAGCAGCTCCTCCACGAGGTGGGCTTCGCACCAGATGCCGTCGCCATCGCGGTCGCCCCCCTCACACCATTCCTGGCCACGCTAAGTGCCCCCGGTGTGGAGAATTAAGCCCCAGTAAAAGTATACTGTGGATTTTACCAAGAGGTCACGGAGAACCCCTCTCCCCTTGGCAGTCAGCCGCGCTCTGATTACTTCTCATTTATCTACTTGGGAGGACTCGGAGGACCAGCTGGGCCCCTGTCTGTACTCATCAGGAGTTAATTTCTGAGAGAGGTGCGGTGGCCATGAACAGGTGCGGAAGGTGCCCCGGTGGTCCTGCCAGACAAGAGGGGCCCTTAATTAGCAGCAGCGTTCAATCAGGCTGCTTAACCCGCCACGAGCTAGAGAGGTCATGTCCTTCCCGCCGCCCTGCCCATAAACACAGAGCCCAGAGCCAGGCAGCCTGGGGAGGAGGAGGCATCCAAACACAAGAAGCCAGCACAGGTCCAAGCCTGACGTTGCTTCAGGGCATGCCCGGCCATTTTGTGTGTGAGAGTGTGTGTGTGTGTATGTGTGTGTGCACACTGTGTACACATGCCTCTGTGTGTCTGTATGGGTGTGCATTGTGTATGTGTGTGTGGTGTGCTATGTGCACCATGGGTGTGCATTGTGGGGGTGTGTGTGGTATGTGCATATATGGGTATGTATTGTGGTTGTGTATATACATCTATGTGCACTGTGTGTGGTATACGCATATGTGCACCTGTGTGTGCATAAAGGTGTGCGTTGTGCGCGCACATGTGTGATTCGCATATCTGTGTGCCTGTGTGTGCATATGAGTGTGTATGTCCACGTATATGTGTGTGGAAGCCAGAGGCTGACATCTGGAATCTTCCTTCATATTTTGGGATAGGGTCTCTCACTGAACCTAGTTCAACGTTTTGCCTGGGCTCGCTGGCCAGTGAGGCCCCGGGATCCACCTGCCTCTCTCTCTCCGCAGTCCGGAATCCCAGCATGGGCCACGCTGCCCAGCGTCTGCGTGGATGCGTCTGCGCTAGGGCCCTCAAGCTTGCACTGCAAGCGTCTTACCCACCGGGCCATCTGCCTGCCCTTAGCTGTCACCTTCTACGCTTGACTAAGTGTCGGAGCTCACCGAGAAGCTTTGTTGCTGTCATCCAAACTCTGGAAGCAGCACTCGGCCACCTTCGTGTTTCCGACGCTGAGCGTCACTCTGGCTTCTCTCCTCTCTGTTGGAACGCCTTAGGCCATCCAGTCGCGGCTGTCACGCGCTGATACAGCTTGGTAGGGTGGGAAAGCCGGGGACCCTTGCTATCCCGAGGGCCGCTGGGTTGCATGATTCAGCTGCAAATTGAGGCCGACTGTACTTGTCCTGGGCGTCCGAGCTGGAGGACAGTTACCGAGAGAGGTGGTGTGTCAGCTGGCACGCACACAAGCGTCACGTGACGGCAGATGACAGACTTGGGAGTCTCTCCGTCTCCTCCTTCGTTGCCAAGGCGTGAAGGACACCAGAGACCCAGTGTCCTGTCCTTTACAGGAAGGCTACTCATCTCCGCCACCGGGTGGACAGCACACACTGGACCTTCTGGCTAAGTGGCTCTGATGTCCTTTGATGCCCTGGAGAATCTAAAGCTGGGTGTGGCAGGAGAGAGCTCCACGGGAGTCTCAGCCCCCGGCGAGATCTCCAGAATTCACAAGCTGGGACCGGCAGGCAGGCTGTGCCCAGACGGTGTGGGTCAGTAACTTGGAGATGGCCTCATAGGTGCGTAGGGCAGACCTGGCTCTGAATGAACCCAGAGTTGTCCCTGATCCCTGCCTGTGACGACTTTAATCTCCTTTGTGAAAGTTAGCCAAAACCCCTTCCTGACCAAACAAAACTAGGAGCAGTCCCGGACCTATGTTCTGGGCCGCGATCCAGCGCCTGGGGATGGGATGGGGTGGTAGGGGTGTTTCAGGTGTTGCGTGGAGTGCAGGAAAAAACTGATGGGGTCTCATGGCAGACTCGAGAGGCAGCGGCTGAGGGCCGGCCCGGAGGAGGATCGGCAGAGCACGTAACGCTCATATAAGGGAGAGATGTTTAGCATTTCCAAGGTGGCTGTGGAGTTTGAGCTTCATTATTTACCTGACTGACAGCAAACGGAGAACGCTGTGGCTTTGTGTAATGAGGCGATGTGTTAGTTTAGTGACAGGAAACTTGCCCTACCGCCTGGGATCCGTCCTCAGTAAAGGCCGGAGGTCTGGTGAGGTGGGTGGATTGGGAGCGTGTGTGTGTGTGTGTGTGTGTGTGTGTGTGCACGCGCACGCACACACACGCCTTACTCATGACGGAGAGGTGGAGAACAAATTGTCCATTGCATCGCCCGATTCTAACAGTTTTCTGAGATGGATGTTTGATCACAAATCGGTTTCTGTATCAAAGACTGTTTTTCTTAACCCTGTAAAAAATTTTTTTAAATCTATGTTTTTTTTTTCCTTTCTACTCTTGCTTTGGCAACATGGATATGCTTCATTCAGAGAAAAAGGAACTGAGGAATAAATCAGTCTCAGGATAGATCTTGCAGCCAAAACCTGCCGGAGCCAGGAGCTCTGTTAGGGGAAGCCAAAGGCTGCAGCCACATCCAGGAACCTGGCCGTGCCTTGTGGGCATAAACTGGAACCTTGGCAATAAGCCTGCTGGACACACGGTCGCCCTGTGCGAGTGCTTCTGGCCTCCAGGCTGAGTATTGCACGTTCTACTCGTTTTGAGAAGAGAAAACCATTGCTTTTAATGTTACATAAACCCCCTCCATCCTTAGCTAGAACTGTTGCTGCTTCAGACAGAGAAGGAGGCCGTAGACATGGTCCTGCCTGCTCCCTGCCAGCAAGCATGGGCCACGTGCTCCGTGGTTGTACCGTGAGTCTTCCTTCCCATCCAGGGGGGTCCCTGTCGGTGGACAGGGCGTCGTTTCTGCAGCTGTTTCCGTGTCCGTCTCAACACCACGGGGTTTGTGTACTGTGTGTGTCTTCGCTCAGTCAGGCCAGCTGTCACCATAGCAGCTAGTGTTACGCCTGGCCTTGCTTTCAGGTAAAGGGACAGGGTTAGCAGCCTAACTCCCAATGCCTATAGCCCTTGATCACATCAGTAATGCCATCTTAATCCTAACTTACATCCGCTGCTGTGTTTTGGTCTCCAAAGTAAGAGAAATCGTACTTGGGAATTGTTAACTACATTAACTTACTATGTTTTTTAATGAGTGTACATGTGCGCGCGCGTGCGTGTGTGTGTGTGTGTGTGTGTGCGTGCGCGTGTGCGTGCGTGTGCGCGCGCGTGTGTGTGTGCGTGCGTGCGTGTGTGTGTGTGCGTGTGTGTGTGTGTGCGTGCGTGCGTGCGTGTGTGTGTGTGTGTAGGCCAGCGCCTGGCATTGCATCTTTGGCTATTCTCCACATTAGTTTTTGAAACAGGGCCCCTCACTGAACTCAGACTTCATCAGTTTAGTTGGAGTAGCATCCTCCTGCCTCTGCCTCCCTGAGGTAGGATTGTAGGTGCGTGTCTCTGCTGTGTGGGTAGTGAGGATTTGAACTCAGGTCCTCATGCTTGCACGTCAAGCACTTTACTGACAGAGCTGTCTCCCTGTAATTTTTGGCAATGCTACTGACTAGTGAGAGCTGCCTGGCTGCTCGCACGGTTATTGGTTCAATTCTTGCGAATCACGGAGGGACCACGCCGGGATGGGGTGATGCTATGCCGGATCCACCGGCAGCAGGATGGTAGCCCTATATCTAGCTTGGGCCCTTCCCAGGAGTGCTGATGCTGCTGAGACTGAACGCAGAGGAGCGAGACAGGGTTTGGCTGCTGTCCTCTCCAGTTCTCAGCCTTCCGGCCTTTTCTGTCTACGCGGTACTGAGTACGGGACCATTCTGAGATTCCTGGCCCTGCCGCTTTCCACGGCACACAGCCCCCCTTCCAGGTCTCACCCCCGGAGTCCCCACTGTCCCGTTACCCTTCTGTAGACAGGTAGGAATATGGTGGCTTCACAAGTTGGAAGGGGTGGGAGGCCCTGAGCCTTGTGACAGCCTTGAACTCAGGCCGCCATGGTCAGGCTCCTCCAGCTCATGTTAGCCTGCCTTGGTCAAGCAAAGTTTTGCTGGTGGTAACAAATGAAATCGCTCTTTGTATGTAACTGCATTATATATTGTAATGTATACTATAGTGTTGTTAAAAACATTGTATTCCATGCCATCACCAAGAGAACAGGTGGGAATAAAAGAAGCCTACTGAAATTCGCATAAATTTATGAGAGGTGTGTTTACCCTACAACCGCCAGTAATAATGAGCATACTAACTGATGCTGACTCAGCACTTAGCGCTGGCCAGGGGACTCAGCACTTAGCGATGGTCAGGTGACAGGGGGTTGTACCATCCTTGCAAGACAAGTTAAAGTCATTTCTCTTCTTCCATCTTTTTGTATGTTTTGTTTTTCTCGATACAAGGTTTCTTTGGTAGCCCTGGCTGTCCTAGAACTTGCCCTGTGATCCACCTACCTTTGTCTCGGGAATGTTAGGATTAAAGGCGTTCTCGTTCATGCCCAGCCGGCTTCTTCCGTGTTTATGTCCATTCCGGGGACTAAAGTCAGGTCACCCGCGAGTCATCCCACTGACCCTCCAGTTATTTTCGTCTCTGTTAAGACTGAGTGATGAGACAGGTTCCTCCTCTCCCTTTCTGGTCCTCGTAAGCCCCTTCTGCATGGGAATCATAGAACGTGGCACAGGGAGTGATTTCCCAGATGTCGCAGGACAGACAGCTACCATGGTTGATTTTCAGTCAACTGTTGTGGGTTGGGGAGTCTCTGGTGCCTCTGTTGTGCACTGGGTGTTGGGGTGCATTGGAGGGGGCTTGTTGGGAGGGCACCTGTGGCTAGCTGACGCTTTTCCAAGCTGTCCTTTACCTTCTTCCGTCCGTCCGTCTGCACAAGCGCAGCTTCCTGTGCGGCTTGACATCCGAAGGTCACACCCCGTAGGTTTTGTTCATAACCAAGCTCCCACCAGAGCAAAGGGTGCCATTGAAGACTTGGCCATCCCAGCAGCTGTGACATTTGACAGTGGATCTGCCACAGCTCTGTCCTGGACTGGGTAGAATGTGGGTAGGATTCCCACCACGAAGGAAAGGAGCTGCAAGTGGGGGGGGGGACTTCCTGTCCCAGACTGGCGTGCCGTCTCGATGGATTGCACTTCCAAGTTCTGCAAGTGAGATTCTCTTGCGGTAATGAGGGCAGCATGGGAATGTGCAGCCGAGGGTTCTCTACGTACGGAGAAGAGACGTGTGTGTGTGTGTGTGTGTGTGTGTGTGTCCCAGTCAGCTGATCGGGAGTCAAGTCCCACCTGTGTGGGTCTTAGCTCCCATCTCTGGCAGTGCGAGGGCGAATACAGCCCTGCCTCGTCAGAGAGCGAGGCCCTCTGCAGAAGATGCTGAGAATGTTGGGGGCCGCTCTGAAGTGTGGTGATGCAAGCGCTGAGTCCGCATTTGAAGTCTCCCCATTGTGTGACAGAACTTGGCAGGGGTGCCCGCCTGCCGTGCAGATGCCCGTCTCTCCTTGTGGGTCCCTTCCGCACTGCGTGTTTACGGTGTAACTGTGCCTGCCAGGCGTGTCTTGTAAGTGTGCCCATTTCCACAGGGCCACGCGTGCTTCTACTGAACTGCCTCAGTCAGCGGGGAGAGGTCATCCCCCAGGCCTGGATCCTCTCAGGGTAGGATGACAGGGCATGCTGACCCGTGCCTGCCAGGCGTATCTGAGCTCAGACTGACCCGTTTCGCGTTCCGTGTGACCCACGGGGGAGTCAGTGGAAGTGAATTATGTGGACTCCGCCAGCCAAGAGGAGACGCCCAGTCTCTCCTCTGGACGCCCGGGTCTCGTTTGCATCTTCACATATTAGTTGTTCATAACAGCCCTGCCTGACCACAGTCCCAAAAGTGAGAACCGAGGCTCAGAAAGCTAGATGTGACTTCCTGAAATTTTGGGCTGAATTGGAGACTCTGCCCTGAGGGAATCCTTGGCCTTTGGAAATATGGCAGATCCCAAATAGAGCTGTACTGGGTGGTGTTGGCATGGCTAGTGACAGGAACCAAACTGCTGAAAGACCAGAAAGCTCTCTGGGGGCTACACTGACGCCGTCCATCATCCATTCATGTATCTATCATGGTGTGTGTGTGTGTGTACATGCACATGTATGTACACATATATGATGGGCACCTCTGTGTGTGTGTGTGTGTACATGCACATGTATGTACACATATATGATGGGCACCTTCTGTGTGTGTGTATGTGTGTACATGCACATGTATGTACACATATATGATGGCCACCTTCTGTGTGTGTGTACATGCACATGTATGTACACATATATGATGGGCACCTTCTGTGTGTGTGTACATGCACATGTATGTACACATATA